TAGAGAGAAATGACCTGACACTTTTTTCAGCCATATCGAGCTTGCTTTGACACTAACATCCAAAAGTATACTATTTACAACTTAAATTTATTATAATATACAGGGAATACAAACTTCTTCAAGACACATGATCCGATCATTGAAATCTCAAGGGGTCTGTGTTCTAGCCTTTCACTCTTATCAGTATTAGTTTATAGGTTTTTTTTATCAGTCACTCTTTGTTATCTTCTTGAATTGAAAAAGAATGGTAAAGATAAAAACAGTGACCGATTTCATAAAAAAAAAAGCCCGCAAACAATACAAATCTGTGAACATGGCCTAAACACAGTCCTCTGGAAATGTCAGCGGTGGTGTCAGCTGCCTTGGAGGTGAAAGCATTCCCTGTTGACCGTTCATACCCGCCGTGAGCCCTATATATGTATTGATCAACTAGAGAGAACATTTCATAGTAGAATGTAGCACCGAACACACATATCTTTCAATTTTTTGAAACATGTCAGCCAAAATACGACCTAATTACTGTTAGGTTATATTCGCTTCATAGTCTTTATAAAGGCCTTAAAAAATAAACCAAATGCCGACTTTCAACGAAATTGTTTAAATTTTTGTAACAGCAACTTTTGTGTGGAAGCCTGCCTTGGTTAAAATATTGATCATAGACATACGTTGGGAGACATAAGTTTTATTAATTATGCAAGTGATTGCAGAATATTACTAAATAAATAGGGCAAGTTGACGATGAAAAAGCTGAGGTCATCTCATTTGTCATACTATTTAGTTATCATAGTTTCCTCTTTAGTAAGTAAAATATGCATATGCATATTTGACAGACTCTGTGATGTGTTTATTTAAAGTTCGATGTATAAATGTAAATAGCTATTATTAATTGAGAAAACGTCGTCAATATACCTGAATATAGAGTTTAAGGCCAAGGCAGGTGATATTGTCTTCTCAGGTAGAGGTTTTTACTCTCTGAGAAAACTGACAGGGAATGCATATACTCCTCAATGGCTCTTGATTCCACCTTTGATTTTAGAGGTCCAAGTCGACTCAGATCAAAAATTTAAATATGAGCATAATCACCTTTCAACATCCTTATATTACATTTTTCAATTTTCAGAAAATAAATGGTAATAAAATTATTTTCCTGATGTTTTTGTCTTTATGTAACTTCAGTCCATTGTTACATTCTATAAGATCTTAAAATCACACGTTAATCATACGACCGAAGGCAAGCAGATTAGTTCATGGGGACGACAGAGCGCACTTCTGCACGAGAACACAGTCAATTAATTATTTGTTATACCTTTTAGATTTTATCTTGAAATATATCTTGCACTGGTTTCTAAATCTTTGATAGATAACATAACTGATCCTGCCGACAGTGTGATGTAAATATGTCGCGATTCAATTTCTCATTGACAGGTCCAATATCTCTCTCAGAGGACTAACATTGATTTTATGTGAGGACGGCTCAGAAAAAAGCATAATTCTATATAGAATATCCAAAACTGACATATTGATATAATAATTATAAAATTCTTCTTATATTGGCCCCAGGGGCTCAGGTGGAGCCAGAAAAGCTTCAGAGCTTTACAGGGGGCTATATATTCCTAGGATAAAGTCTTAAAGAAGAGCAGGATTGTAAATTGTAAATTGTAACTAGATATATAAAGAAAAATAACAAATACAAAGATATTCCATAGTTCAATAGTGGTTGCAACACAGCATCTTCATTTAAAATAAAAGGGAAATTTGTAAATTCAACTTTACTTCTACCAGAAATGTACAATTCAAGGTGAGTCAAATAATATTTTCCTCCATTAAGATTTAAGTTGATTCCTTAAGCAGCAAAAAATATCATTTTAAACAACCGGTACGTTGTTACCATGGTCACAATGCAAAGTAGCAATAAATCCCAGTTTCTTCATGCTGTTAGTGTTACAAGGTCTACAGGATGTATATTTGTCAACTGGTGTTAAATTTCCCCTTTTTCCTCAAGATAGTAATATTATCTTACTCATAGTAACATACTGTAATTGTATTACATTTAGTGGTGTATTCTATTTAGCGATTTTAGCGGAAAGAATCAAGTACATCGCTAAATGTCTTGTATATCAAACATTTATAATAACTAGCACATTCAGATATCGTTAAACCAAATCTAAACTGGGTAATTCTTTAACTTGACCAGCTTTTGACTATTCTGTTATCTTGAAAATTAATTGCGCATTCAGACTTCTTTTTACAGCTGGCTTGCTTCTCTATATAGTGTACCTTCGTGATTAAGTATCAGCAGTGAAGTAACTTTACTATATCTACATTGAAACACATTTATATGTAGCCAGAACCTAAGCCGACGTCATTACCGCAACAATATTTGTCATTTTAAAGCTGAAGAACTACTTTAAATATTTAAAATCGTGTACTCACATTGATATATTACAATGGAACACTTTACTATGGACTATATTTGGATATGAAATGAACAAATCTTTCCGTTTAAATGTTTGTTAAGTGATCAGTGTCTTATTAATTTCGATTCACGGACAATTATTTATAATTTTTTAAACAAAATGTCAGCCTCACAATGCTGAATATCGTATTGAAAAAATCATATTGATGTAAGATATATATTTGGTTTTTGATACATAGGCAATACTTACATAAAAGGTTAATTTCGATATAATTCGTGATCGTTGTGGTGATGACTTTGTGTTGTGGCAATGACACCATGTTTTGGTAATGACAGTAAATAAGAATATAGTACAATATGGTAGTGTTGAAACAAACATGTTTAATGAAATAAATCATTAAAACGCCAATAGAGATGATAACAACATTCCTTGCTAAAAGAACAGAGAAAAAAATTCATAATAAACGTCTAAACAATTAAACTACATATTAAACAAATTAAGTTTGATATTACTCAACCATTGCCAAGATTACACTTCTAATGCCCGTGCAAAATATTCCCATTCTGACTTGAAGACCTGAAAATGACTGGAACCGACACTAGCTGGTTGTTTAATAAACAAAATTATACCCTTTTGGTCATACCAGAGCAAATCCTCGATCATTGGCCAAAAAAATCTGTTCAGACCAATTCTATGCATAACCTTAACTTCTACATCAGTTTCGTCTATATTTTGTACAACACCGGGATACGGCAACCCATCATAGCAAACGACACACCACTTTCCAAGTTTACTTTCGTCCAAGCAATGCTCAACTTCATGCTGCTTATCAGATGATTTGAGTGTTGTCGATCTGTCAGATGATTCGAGTGCTTTTGATGATCCTCCTTCGAAAGTAAACTCTCTCACGTCAAAACAGCTACATGGTTGGTCTGAGCAAAAACAGCTCAGAATCCTTACCCTTAAAGACCTCAGCCTGTTAGTCTGAACCTGAAAGTACATTGTGTGAATATTTATCAATAAACTATTTAAAATTTTTGTTTTGTTTTATTGTCTTTTTGTTCAACTACTAGTATTCATGAATTACACCAAATTAATATTTCCAAAGAAAATGCTTCTGTTTTACTTTTTGTTGAATGGTTTATTTAGCCTCCTGAAATAACTTTAAGGTCCCTTATAATATATTAGGTCATTTAAATTATGTTCAGAAGTCTGATGCATTTACTGGATAATCAAAAAAATCGAAGCTGAATAGAGCTCACCTCCTCGAACTAATCTTATCACACGTGCATTTTTATTTTATTTTTGTTTTGCTCACGTACCTGATGTAGTTTCATTGTTCCTTGAATTGCTGGTAAGTCTGACGGTATACATTTTTCAACATTCCTGACATCGTTTTCGTCTACAAGATACAACTCCACCTTTAATTTCTGTAGAGCAGAGAGCATGGACTTGGCATCTACTATGCTACCTCCATTTGCCACAAAGGAATCTGAAGCCCTTTTTATTGCCCCTCCTATACCATCAGCTGGTCCTTTGCCGTGACCGGCTTCCAAAAAGTTCCACGACCCTGACTTGAATCCACTTTCCAGATGAAAGGTTACAAAATAAATGAAAGTTGTTTACAGCGAAACTGTGTAGTTGGTCCATCGCTAATGAAATGAATTATGTCACTCTGGGGGTTCTTTTGCAAAACACTGTTTAATACTGGCTTAAGATGAGCCCAAATGGCAGCCGGGCCATGCTTATTGTGATCAGACATGGTACAGAACGAAAACATTACATCGTTGCTATTATACACAACACCGGTGTGAAGTGTGACCTGGATCTGACTGGCTCCAAAGTGGACGCTCTGAATTTCTCGATCATATTTACAATTATAATTTTCGGAAAAGTCCATGTGAATGGCAACTTCGTTTTCTTTCATATTCTCTCTTAGTCGTCTGAGAGTTTTGTACTGGTGTCGTATATTATATATGTGGCGGCAAATTTTTGAAATGTTTTCATTAAAGTCCTGAAGCAATGACAGCACTGAACCACTCTCTTCTTGTCGCACAGTCATTGACACTGTGGAAATATTTTCTTCTCCGTTGTCTCCTTTTCTAACTTTTTCTACGCGCCGTGTTGTCCATTTTTTCCAAGTCACTTGCAAACCTGGATCATGATCTTTTAATGGAACCTTCAGCGGAGCACATGTTTCACATTCTCTGTACATGCACTTTTGATTATCTTCACTGCAGCAAATTTTAGAAGTAAGAATGTTAATATCTTGTGTGGATAAAATTTTCAAATCGCTCAGCTTGTCTATCTGGTACTGCATGTTTTCACACTTGATGCAAAGGCATGTTTCTCTGCATTTTTGCTTGACAATCCAAAACGGTTTTAACTTGCAGAAGAAGGAGTATGACAGGGAATTTTGTGGATTCTCGCTGTTAAACTTAACATGTAAGTTCATCAAACTGTCACTAAGATACCGTTTCTGCTTTTTTATTTTGTGGCGAGTTATGGTCTCTTTCTTGCCAGCTGTCGTGCGACTATTATCGTCTCGCTGCAAAAATACCTTCACGTGCATCCTTAGCTCTTCTATACGGCGATTTCTCTGTACTTTTCTTTTTTGTCTATTCCGTCTCGTATCTTCCTGCATCGATTAAATGCCAATTGCTTAAAAGCAAACTTTTTTAAGCGGTACTTCCGAAGAAGTTTTGATGATACCACATTTGCTATGATCTGTCGATTTCTCTGCTTTTTTGAGTTTTTGTATTTTTCTTTTATGCTTCTGACTACAGTGTGATGAAATAGAAGAGTACGTCTAACTTCTTCTGTAACATTCTGTTCCCCTAAAAGTTGATCAGTTTTCGATCTTGGAGAATCTGTGCATCTTGGGGTATTGTTTTTCTTCATTCTTTGTAATCTTTTCTTATATTTTTCAACCCTCCTCTCCACCGAAGCGAGTTTTACTTTCATCTGTTTGATTTCCCGATATGCTTTGGCTCTATCTTTTCGAACTTTTTTTCTTCCTCTTGTGCTTGTGTCTGGTCTCCTTTCCATCGTTCCTGTAGGGGAATTTGGGGGTGTGTCCGTTCGATTGACTGCGTCTAATATGAATTTATCTTTCTTTCTCTTGTTTCTTCGATTCTTCCTCCATGATTTTCTTGTAACCCTCTTTTCCCTTTCAGACATATCTTCAATTCCTTTTATGTCGCCTTTGTTTTTTCTTTTTCTGTATCTGTCTCTTTCTTTTTCAAGATATCTTCTGTGTCTCTCTGGGTCTTCTTTTTGACGTTCCCGCCATTTTCTTGATCTTTCTGTAGAAGTAAGTGGCATTGCTTCGAATGGATTGCTTTGGTAACTAATTTAAGATGCTCCTTTGATTTTTCATAATAATCACGAGCGTCACATACAGTTTTTGCCCATATACTTGCGGTATTTTCTGTATGTGGAATGTTAACTACAGTTAACAATTCTTTTTCAGATTTGATTGTTATCTTCTCTGCTGCTAATAGCTTCTTTTTAATTTCCAGTAGTTGGTTATCCATACCTTTAAAAAAAAGTTAAATATGGTTTAACTAACACAAAACAACAACTTATTTCATAGTTATCAACAGGGAGTGTAACTATAAAATTTTTTGGTTTGATGAGTGTTTTTACTTAATATAGAACGTTTTTGCTTCGCAATTAATCGTATAAAATCCTAAATATGTCATTACCGAAACGTAAAAGTCATTACCACAACTGTAATATATGTTGTGGTAATGACCGTTTCGGAAATGACGTTTCTTTATTTTATTTGATATAGGGGGCTTGTAAAAAAGATAATGGCGGGTATTTTTTCGTTTTCCTACTGTCTTTATTGTACATATTTCAAAGCGCGTTTTGCGAAGAGAAAATCAAGAACATTCTTGAAGATACGGAATGTTCGGTAATGACAATAAATAAATGTACGACTTATAATTACGATAAAAAAGATTGATTTTTTATATAAGTCTTACCTCGACATTGCCAGCTTCTTCTGCATGCTAATGGAGATGGGTATGTTGACAACGTCATACAAATATGTGCTTACGTCACAACGAACATAACACAAGTCTATTGAAATCAGTATCACGTTGCGGAAATGACAAAAACATTCGGGACAGATTTATGTTGAGTTTATTTTTAAAATTAAAGAAATTTGAACGTTTTTGTTTATTTATGGATGACATTTAATCCCTCGGAAAATAAGTTGGTGAAAAAAATAGGGATTTTTTTCATTTTTTTATAATCTGAATGACTTGTACTTCTTTAGAAAGATAAAAGGGACATGGATATTATTAAGAAGTTTTCATTCTAATGTCGCTTAATGTAGATGAATTTTACTTCAAATAGATAATTAGCGATACTTTATTATAAAAAGAAGGTTTATTTTCTCCATGAACAAGAGCAATGTCTAAATAATTTTCAGAAATTCATAAATATTTGGCCAAATTTTCCGGGACATGGTTTGCCGTTGTAGTTAAAGAATTGCCCAACTAACGTTGAAAATAAATTTCCGCCAAATATCGTAATCGTCGAATACAATACACATTTACAGTATTTTGCTTATTTACACTTTGTTAGCATGTACGTTGACCATTATATTTATTTTATTTATAAGTAATACAACTTATACCTAGATACTTAGGTTCAAATATTTTCATTGCTTTTTCTTAAGTTGTTGACCTGTTTCTGGTGTTATGTAGTAATTCAAGACTTTTATAGGTGACCATGCGTAGCAATAAAGTGTAAGTGGGTACAGAGAATATTAAGAGACATCTTTTCAAATTCTTTCTCAAAGGTAAATTAAACATCAACAATTTCCAAAAAATCAAATATCTTTAAGATTGCTTGATTAGGTTACCTTATCACAAAGTAATTGATACATGTATATATTAAAGCAACATTCCTAAACACATTATTTGCTAAAATGTGGGGAAAAGGGAAAGGTAACAATTATCATAAAAAAGTTAAATAAAAATATGAAGTATTATTAGTTCAGAATTTTTAAGGAGTCTTTTTTATCTTTAAATTTTACACAAATTAAGTTTCCAAATTAGATTTCCACTTAAAAGAGATATAGAAAGTATGGACATAAGGAAATCTGTTCAAGGTTCTCCACGAGTTGTTTCAATGTGTCGATCCTGACAAGGTAAAGATTCAAATATTGGGCTTGTGCCACAGTAAAAAGTGTACAACACAGTAAGGTCTTCAATGATCAGAAAAGACAGATCACGAATCTTTTTGAAATTTTAATTAAGCAATTAATCAACCGTCTTTCAATGTTTAGTACAGGACACTTAATTATCTCTTAATTTAGGAAACGTTGGCTTGCTTCACTTGTGCGCATGAAGGAACAAAGACAACTCGTTTGGTTTTTGGCTTCCATTTGTTTGTTGCATTATCAATTTTATTTAAATATTTGTCATGAAGTTAACACCACAGCTTTAGAATCAAGTTGGCACTTTGAGTTAACATCCTATCGTAAATGATTTATAATTTATGTATTGTTGAAGATTAAAAACACTTCCTAAAACTATTTTACTACTCTTACACTGAGAGAATTACCTAGTTGATTTAACTAGTGTGCCTAGTAAAGCGTTCGTCGTGATTAGTAATCACTCTGTGTACTAGCTAAGGTAGTGAAAAGTTGAATGATGGTCGTAAAGATACTTAGATAGTTAGTGAAAGTTACTTATAAATTCTTAGATTTACTAACATTATCTAGTAAATCTACCCAATGCCTAGTAAAACTACTTTTGAGGTAGTGATTGTATGGACAGTAAATTTACTAGTCTTCCCAGTGACTTTCACGAGTTATTTTTTTCAGTGTATATTAAATTTTATTTTAATCTTAATAATCTAATTTAAAATGCTCTTTCAGACTATTTAATAAGGACAGTTGTTGGTAAAAGTTTATACAAAAAGATATAAAACATTCTAAAAAAGCAAGTATTTGACAATTTGTATATATACAATCTCGTCTCAATATGTTTTTCTTTAAACTAATGGATTGTATATTTTGTTGCAGATCCAAAAACAATTATAAACATATTATGACTAATCAATATAGTGATTGAAGTAGAATAAGAAAAAATACAAATTTATTAAATAAAGAAAGGAGCACATCTTTCCACGAAGAGATAACCGAGAAAATGGGGAAAATGGGTTAACATTCTTGTCTCAAGAAAATCTAGAAACGATTCAAGTTCTGAGGAAGTGTTAATTCATTTTTTTTCGAATTTTGCATCCGATGGAAAAATTAATTTTGAAGAAGAAATGTGAGCTGAGCAAGCAAAAGGCATGTCTAACCCCAAACAAACACTAAAAAATGATAGCAGAGGAAACACAAACTCATGAAGAAGTAAGAAGAGGGATTAATTAAGAGGTAATACGTCCCCTATCGACCCCTTCACACCTGTAGTGAAGACTATTTCTTGATTCGGTAATATGAATATTAAAAAAAATTATGTAATCCATAGACAATTTATCATGAAACCATGTCCTGACATGCAATTTTTTTCGCCCCCTTTCACTGAAAGTGGGGATTATAAATTTCGGTTTGTCTGTCCGTTCGTCCGTCTGTTAGTTCGCGCCCGTCCGTATTTCTGTCTGTATATAATACGTTCGTTTCTGCGTTATATCTCAAAAAGCTTTTGAGTTTTGCAAAAAAAAAATATTACACAATATCTTTCTTTGGTCTAAGTAAGATCCCCTATTTTTTTTTATGTTAAAAGTGTCAAAGGTCAAGGTAAAACAGGTAAATTCTTAAACCTCTTTGAGCTTTTTCGGTAAAGTTTTTTCTTTGACCTAAGAAAGACCCCAATTTAATTTTTAGGTCAAATGTCAAGGTCGGAATTTCATATATTATGTGTGAAATATATGGAAATAATGAACTATATTCAAGAATAAAAGTCCATAAAACAATCAAAATAGGATTAGAGCAAACAGGGACCTCCAAAACATCAGAGATGAGATCAGGTGCAATGGAGGAGCCAGTGTGCTCCTTGTCATGATCGAGAAATAACGGAAAAATCCGTCGTCAATTCAGTGATTAAATAATGGACTTACAATTAGTATGAAAAATGTCAGTCAGCATTTGACGCAATGATAAATTGTATTTGCTGACAAGGTCATTGTATCGACCATAGAACTTACGAAATAATGACTTTAAACGAGACTGCTGATAGTCTCGTTTCATCAATTTGTTTGTCAATAATTTACCTCGTTTTGAAAACTGTTCATACGTAGAGCATGCTCTTCCGTATTTAATCAATTGAGATAGAAAATCTCCGCCTGCAGATGATGAAGGTATATTGCTGCATACATTCTGTGTGTGTTACTTTCTTTTCCGAGCTCAGGAAGCTTATGAGCTTGTTCAATGCAATTTTATGTTACAACGTGTAACCTCCCATTGTCCCGTCTGTCCTTCGTAAGTGTTTGCCCCCCTTTTTTAACCCCACCCCTCTTGATCTGCGATAGCTCTTTTTTCCCTTAAGCGAGGGACCCAGATTTACTGAATTACTTTGTTTTAAAACCAAAAAATATCGAAATAAACATTCTACCAAACGATATGTTGTTTGTGAAAACGTTAAATGTAAATGAAATTGTTGATAACCTTGTATCATCAGTTTAAATATTAGAATCTTGTTTCGGTTTAGAAAGTGTCTCATATTTGGCAATGGTATCATTAACAGATGAAAATGGCATAATACTTCGTAAATTACGAAAAAAGTTGTTTTATTGCTAAAAATGTGTTTCTCTAGCAAAATACCCAAATACAAAAATGATTTATAATAAAAAAAAATGTTTCTATTATAGTGCTTTGTTTTCAAAATGATTTTGAATACGTAATGCTTTGTCTACCTAATCAATACATAGAACTAACGGCGGATGTAAACGGTTACAGAAGTATAGGGAAATAAATGGAAAAAAGTTTTCATCATACATGCATACAAGGAAAAAAATCTGATGTAAAATCACTCTCGATCAGCAAAAAGTGGCAGACATATTGTTTTCAGAATGATCTTGTGTAGTTGCTTGTTTAGTAAAGTTAAATACCGGAAGGACGACAATTTGATGACATAATTTTAATTGAGGGAACATAAAGAAAAACACTTTAAACCAATCATCTGAAAAAAAACCCAGAAAGATCGATATAACCTATCTGTTCTTTGCTGTCCTTGGCTTTCTTGTTTTTGTTATTGTCAGCATCAATTGAAGATAATCACTCCTAATAAGACATCATTTTAAGCCAGTGTCAATGCGCTTAAACACAAAAATACTCGATTTACGATTCTTCTTTTGTTTTGTTTCTAAGATTTGATTTATAACAGTTTGTCATTTTCACCTTTTATTGCATAATTTTATTATCTCTCTAAGGTATACTTTTTCATTAAACATTTTATCTATTGATATTGTTAAACAAGATGTGTTTGTGAAACACTATGCACCCGGCGGAAACAAAGTTAAAAAACTTATTTTTAGCAGATTAGTCACAGTCAAGGTCACAAGGTCATTGACCTTGGTGTCCTTTGAAAGAGCTTTATTAGTGGAGTATGCATTCTTAATATGAAGTTTCTGTCTCTTATGGTTCAAAAGTTATGGCGAAAGTTCAAAAAAACTATTTTTAGCATATAGGTCACATTCAAGGTCACAAGGTCATTGATCTTTGTGTCATTTGAAAGAGCTTTCTTAGTGGAGTATGCATACCAATTATTAAGTCTCTATCTCTCATGGTTCAAAAGTTATGGCGAAAGTTCGAAAAAGCTATTTTTAGCATATGGTCATAGTCAAGGTCACAAGGTCATTGACCTTGGTACCATTTGAAAGAACTTTATTGGTGGAGTCTGCATACCAAATATGAAGTCTCTATCTCTCATGGTTCAAAAGTTATGGCGAAGGTAAAATTTGACAACAGACAGACAGACAAACAGATAAACAGACAAACAGACAGGACAAAAACAATATACGCCTCGGATCTATCGATCCGGGCGCATAAAAATTTTAAAAAATAAAGATTGCTCGATAATTTGTAGTACATAATGTATCAATAGGGCTATTAATTTTGTATCAAGTACATGTTTACATCAATGATCAATATAGTGATAACGAACAGTATTTCATATCAAAGTCCTTAAGGATGTACAAAATACCCACCCCCGAAAAATTCCTGTCGTTTACTTTTCGCTATTTTTGTATATTTGATACATGACTATATCTACTTTGTGACTGCACATTTTGGACAAAATCGTTAGAGTGGTTTTTGGACAGGAAATTCCAAAAGTTACCCCCCTTTAGTTGTTTACGAGTAGAGAAAATTTTTAATCAATGAATTACTTAACCCTTGATTTTCAAAAAAGCCATGTTAGCTATAACTGTCAAATTTCATTGAATTATTCTTTTAACCATTTAACACAAAAATATAGTCATCCTTTTGGTATACTTTTCATCAAAGTCCATAAAACAATACAAAATAGGAGCAGAGCAAACATCGACCTCCAAAACATCAGAGGTGGAATCAGGTGCCATGGAGGAGTGAGCATCCCCTGCCGACCGGTCATACCCGCTGAGTATTCCTTGTCATGATCGGGAAATAACGGAAAACTCCTCGTCAATTTAGTGTATAAATAATGGACTAACAATTAGCATGAAAAACGTCAGTCAGCATTTGACTCAATGATAAACTGTATTTGCTGACAAGGTCATTCTATCGACCAAAGAACTTACGAAACGATCACTTTAAATGAGACTGCTGATATTCTTGTTTTATCCCATGTTTCACCCTTTATCCCGTTGATATAGCTCATGTGATATCGTTTTAGTATCACACAGTCGTGACGTCACAATGGGTTTTGCGTTAGAGTGATGAAGTAAAATGAAGTGGAATCCTATATAAAAGCTGTGTAAAACATTATTTGTGGTGTAAAAAAAACATCGTTTTGTAGTTAGATATGAATTTGTTCAACTCGTTGTGTGTTTTATCCCCTCGCCAAGGCTCGGAGATAAAAACCACACAACTCGTTGGATAAAAATCATATCCAACTACAAATCATGTGAGATCCTATATTTATCAACTTGTTTGTCAATAATTTACCTCGCTTTAGAAATTGTTCATACGTAGATCATGCTCTTGCGTATCGAATCAACTGAAATATATAAACTCCGTATACAGGTGATGACGGTATATAATTGCATAAGTAAGGGGGGTTGAGACGATAGAAAAGTTAAAGTCATCACGTTTATCATTGAGCTTGGTTGTTAGATTACCATTAACGTCTTTTTCAAGTAAAATATCCAAGTATGAAACAGATGTGTCAGACTCTGTGGTATCTTTTGTATCAAGCTCACCAGGATATATCGTATCGACGCAGGAATGGAAATTACCATTGTTAATTGACAACACGTCGTCGATATATCTAAATGTCGAGTTGAAGACCACAACAAGTGTTTTCTTTTTTCATGTATAAGGTTTTCACAAATTCTGCATCATATGAATACAAAAATAGGTCTGCTAATAATGGAGCGCAATTGATACCAATGGGAATTCCAAAAGATTGTTGGAAGACCTGGTCTCCAAAAAACCATATAGATATTTTCAATCAGAAACTCAAGCATCTTTTTGATGTCAACTTCAGAGTACTTGTGTGTGCAATCAGTGTGTGCAATCAGAATGTTTTTAACAACATAATTTTGCAAATGACCAATGGCCAGGTAAGTAAATTTACGAGTTCCGTTTTTATTGAAAAAGCAGCTGTCACTTATATAAAACAGCCTGGACTTTAATTTATCGTGAGGAATGGTTGTGTAAAAGTTGTTAGTATTTAAGCTGTTGATATTGGTAAAATCTTGTGATTTCAAATTGTCAAAATTTAAAGTTCTTTGGAATTTTTGAATATCCACATCTGATTTAAACCACTTCTTGAATACATTGTTGCACAGTATTCTTGAAGTTTCTCCTTCACTTCTGTCAATATCTTAGTGAAGAGTAAAGAAAGAGGCTTGGATGAATATGATGAATAAGAATCATAATATTGTAATTTGATGAAAATGGCTTATTTTAAATTCTTTTGTGCATGTTATTTTGTGACATCGATTCGTAAAATGAGGCGTTTCAACATCAAATTGAAAGTGTTAACTAATGGATATGTGTCTTAAAAGAAATCAGTCTCGTTTTTGAAATTAAGTTCAGTACTCTGCGAATTTACATGTGCATGTACAATGGATATTCCTCGGGCAATCGATTGTATCACTTAAAGGGAACAATCTTTGATTAAGTCTTATTACATCAGAGTCTTTGGCATAAAAGTTTTCCATACGAAAATTGTAAATTCTGTCAATAAGTGTTATTTTAAATTTTAAAAGAGTATTTTTAACTGTTTGCATGTCAATGCATATATATTTTTTCTTCGTTTCATACAGTATATATATCTCGAAACAATGAATGAGGATTTTTTTTAGCATTTCCATTTTCGCTGCTTTTATAGACATGTACTGTGTTGTAATCTACTTAACGCTTTTCAGCAAAAACGAACAAATTTTATGCCTATTTCTATACCCCACATAGTATAAAGCTAATCCAAACTCATCCAAATTCTTTAAACAACTCAAATATTGTGACATTTACATCGTAAATCGGCGGGTGTGACCGCTCGGCAGAGGATGCTTATTCCTCCATAGCACTTGATCCCATCTCTGAATTTTTTGGAGGTCCTTGTTTGCTCTGCTCCTTATTTGTAATGTTTATGGACTACTGAGTTCGAATACTGTTCGTTATCTACGCATGTATATTTCTTTGATACTTTTGATCCATACCATTGTTTTAAAGTTGCATCATCTTTTTTTTCTGAATCTTACATTCTCCAAAATTGGCATTGTGTTGTTTAAGAAATTTTAATCTCGCTAAATTTTTTAAATCTCTTTTAATAATTTTTTTCTTTCAAAACTCATTAAGGTTTAGACATGCTTAATTAACCTAGATTTATAATGTATGTTTTCTAATTTACCTGTTTTAATGTCCCTGAGGTATTTTACACAAAGTGAGTAATCGTCTAGACCTAAAACAAATTGTTGTATAATTGATAACTTCAGCCTTAAAGCATCAATCATTCCATGTCTTTGTTTGAATGAACATGCATTGTACATAAAGCATCTGATATTCACACATTCACTTTTATTTTTTTATATTTTTTTTGTATTTTACAATACAAAATAAAAAAAGAGATATACCTCACAATTCTTTAAGAAAATATAACATTGTCTTATTCTAAAATAAATTTTCATTACTTATTTTTAAATAATCATTAAGTATCCGATGGGTTTTAAGAGAAATTTCATATTCCGACCAGAATTAATTAAGAGAACTGCGTAATTAAAAAAACCCAAAACAAAACCTTTTATTGCTGTTTAAGTCCTTGACAAGTATTAGCACTTTTCATGTTAAATTCTTATTTTTTTACAACCTTCCGTTTATTCTCATTTTCGAACATAAATGTCTCTTGGTTTCTAAGGCGAACATTCTGGTCATGTTTTATATTTATTTTTCAATATAATTTCCATTACTCACTTACCTGTCAACCAAACTCATAAAACTTGCACGTTTCAAACTGCAGATTAATCTTGGGATTTTTTTTTACTTCAGGGAAAAATATATTATTTTAAAAGCGGCATCCTTAATTTGATTGGATATAACAAACACTGCTTGATGGACTTTTTTCTTTTGGTATTGGAAATCAGGAACAATTTATCAACCTTTACATTTCCAGTAGGGTAAGTTATCATATTATATGCGACCCTTCAACATTAATTACTCAAAGGTAATACCTGTAACACCAATATATAATGGAGGTTGATAATAGGCAAATATAAAACACATTTATTAAGTACCATGCGATTTTGTATCGTATTTAATTTAAAGTGAAATTAAACAGTTATGACTGTGATTTTAATATCATGAATAAACTTATTTACTGGATCAACAATTTCTGAACCACAGGAAACAATAACAAAAAGGTCCATGCGGGAGCCGATAGACCAATTTCAGAATCATCGATTAATTGTGCTTTTTATATTTTTGTTCAAAAAGGGAACTTGTTCATTGACGCTAGTATAGTGGGAGAAACCTTATACTAGTATGCTTTCACACATCGATCGGGGTTCACTGTACAGAATTGTGTATGGAGATTAATTCCCTGCTTCCCCTGGATATGTAAGTTTTCATTCAAATTCTTCACTTTACTTTATGATATCTCAAATAGCTACTGTAGGTTTTTTTTTCAGAGTACAATTTCTAATTTATTATAAACCAAATATTCCAAAGATACAATAACATTTTAAGTACTGAGTATCATTATTCTCATAACTATATTCATTTAAACAGATCAAAAATCACCTATGTTTAACTTTATACATATATCATAAATAGCGATGATTTATTCTTGAAAAAAAAAAAACAATAATTAACACTTTAAACACCGTTGATGCCTTTTTTAATGACACGGTCTTATAATGTTATATTATACGTAGTACATTGGTCGTTTGAACAGTTATGCATGGTACGTTTATCATCTAAATTGGCTGCAATTGCAAAATTAGTTTCTATTGGCAAATTATAATTTTTTTAAAGTTTTTTTTCTATATAAATTAACCTGTACAGGTACGTATTTTTTGGGATTTTATTCAATTACTGAACAAAAAAATTGAATAAAAGTTTGAAGAAGATGAATTCCCCAGATTTGGAGGTGTTTTAAAGAGCAAAGAATTCTTCTGTAATGCATGTGTCATTACGAAGGTTAACATTCCATAATTTTTGTCCCCAGTTTTCGTGAAAGCGAGAGAACATTGATACCATTTGTCTGTCCGTTTGTTTAGCTGTCCGTCAAAAACCGTCAAAAACATTTACCTTGGTCATAACTTTTGAATAAAAAGAGGTAGTTCATATTTCACATGCACATTGCCTTTGACACGACCGTTCCAAATACAATGATATTTGACCCCTTAACCTTAACCTCGAAGTTTGGCACACTTTTCAAAAATTTAAGCAAATTCAGCGAATTGTTGTTCCCTGCTTTCGGTGTCTTACTGGAAGGGATGCAATTATATATGCCATATTGTGTCAAATATGAACGCCCTATCATATGTCATTCAAAAGCAATGAACAAATTTAATTTTATATATTTAGTCAAATATGAATTTCAAGGGGTAAAAATAATAGCATGCTCGGAAACATCTTTTTACAGGTATTGCACATGTCAAATATGAAAGACATATCTCTTCTCAACCAAAAGTTTTGAAAAGAAGGTCAAATTTGAAGGTGAAGGAATCACAGTCCAAAATCATTGTATATTTGTGAAGGTCATGTCACAGGTAATATACATAAGTAATGTAAAAGCCCTATATTTTCTCTTTCAAAAGTTATGAACAATTTAAAGTAATGTTAAATTTTTGAAACGTAGGTCAAACTTCAAGGTAAAGGGGTAAAAAATCATAGTATATTTGAAAAGGTCTTGTCACAGGTGATATGTACAAGTGAAATATGAAAGTCCTTTCTCTTCTCATTCAAAGGTAAAAGTTTTGTTACAGACAGACAGACTGACAGGCCAACAGGCAAATGAGATTTAATGTCTCCTCGCTTTCGTGGACACCAAACAAACAAAAAGAGAGAGAAGGGTGAGAGAGAGAAGGAGAGGGGAGAGAGAGCATTTAAATTCTATTTTCATTTGAGATGTTCCTGTAGCCGTTGAATTGTCTGTATGAATTGGTTATATTCTTGAAGCATTTCCAAGACTAACATACACTATTGCTGGAATATAACTATACACATTTAACTTCAACATAATTGGATTTTATTTCTCGTCTGCAAAAAGAAAATTATCCCTTCTGCTCGCCTGGTTCTGCATATCCGATGAATTCTCTCCTTGGTGTGATAAAACTGAATCCACAAATGAACAATGCAAATTAAGGTATACCGATCCTCGTGTATTAAAAATCAGAAGTTAGGAAATTGAACGTTTCTGAATTCACAAAAGAATGTGTATTTACCCATGGTATTTTTTCAAAGTTCATCATTAAAGTTGAATCATATTATATAGGGGAAATATTGATTCTCAAGAATTTTCTCCGGGAAACGCAAATCAGAGTACTAAACATTTTCTAATTATCAACTAATACTAGTAAACAAATATAATTCAAGATGAATTTTTATTAGGTATGCAGGCATTCAGAGAAAATTGGATGTTTTTCATAAGTTTCGAATTCTATTTTGTCCAATTATGTTTGTTGCTTAATCATTAATTGATATAAAAAATCAGATTTAAAATTTGTACTTCATGCACACAGTTGGAAAGGCATAGTAAATGTTTCAATCTCTATAGAAGATTGTATCACTGCAATATATTCCGTTACGTGTGTTACTTTTGTGTTAATTTTTGTTTCTGTGCATTAGCAAGATATCAAAATGTACTTTTTATTTGGCATATCTTTTATCAATTTTTAAATACGGATAACAATTTCTTTAAAGGATAACGTCAATTATTTCATTTATAATTAACTTTATTTCACACTATTTTGGGGAAATTATTTGTTTCTTCTACTTCTATTCCATTTTTGTGACTTTTCCTACATGTACCATACTGTTCTGATATATTACACTGTAAGTTGTAACAGAATGTTACAGTCTTTTTCCATACTAAGCAAGTTTTGCTCACAGAGAGAGAGACTGGGAGTAAAAATAGGCAAATGGACTTTAATCAAAATTAACTTTGCTTTTTAAAAGCACCGTTACTCTAAAATAACCTTTTTTCTCTCTGTTGCAAAATGTCACTTGGACCTGCGGTCTTTGATTATGCCCTTATGATAAGATGAAATTGTTCACCAGATATCATTTCATATAATTATGCAAAAATACAATCATAATAAAACATTGGTGGTAAAAGTTCAGTGCTAGTATGAAAATTAAAAGAAGTAATTGGAGGAAACTAGTCCATTTAGTCTCAAATGTTAATGACCAACAATTGAAAAATAAATAGATAGCATTCATTTAAATCCTTGAGCATGGTGGAAATGCACTGCTTAATGTCACACCATAAGTAAATAATGTGCGTATTTTTTTTTTATGTCAGTAAGGAAAAAAACATCAAATGCAAATGTTAAAAATACTTTGAAAGTAATATTTACTAGTCTCAATGGATAATACACAAAGATATATTGAGATCAAATTTAAAAGGATTTTATTAATTATTAACGACATTTGAACGTAATAACGTGCAAGGTGTTAATATTTTTTGCCCCCGTATATCGAAGATTTGATGTTATATAGTATTTGTCCGGTCGGTCCGTCTGTCTATCTGTTAGTTTGTCTGTGTGTCTGTTTATCAGTTTGTCCGCCAAAAATAACATTGTCCATTACTTTCTATTGGTTTGAGCTAGATCTCAAATTTTATATATGTATTTCTCGCTACAATGCTTTTCCTTGAGTACCAATATATTTGACCTCTTAACCTTCACCAAGGAATTTGATCAAATTTTGCAAAATTTACCTAATTTAACCTCGGTCATAACTTCTGATCAGAGGGCGCTAGGTCTTTAATACTTCACATGTTTGTTTATTGGATACATGTAAGTCCTTTCAACTGATATAAATATTCTTGACCTTGATGTTTGAGTTTGATCCACTATTTAAAAAAGTAACTTGGATACACAATTAGTACTAAGGCCTTCATATTTCAGAAGTGAATCCCAAGTAATAGAGCCATCCTTTGGATACCAATAATTTTGACTTTTAACACAGATTTTGGAGTTGAAATACTTTTGAAAGACATTATAATCCTGGCCTTAAATTTAAGTTAGTGCTGAGGAATATTTATTTTGCACATGCGTTTTTCTTATGACATAAATAACGTAGAATCAACATAAATTTGACCTTGAAATTTGCAAAACATTGAAACAAATGTTACTCTTGACCATTACTTTTTATTGGATAAGGATGGGGCTTTCATATATCACGGGTATATTCATTGCGAAAAAGTCCTTTATATTCGGTTTTTGTATTTTTCATCCCTTAATCTTTGTATATAACTTACATTTACGAAACTTTAACCTTAGCCCAAAAGTTGTCACGAGGGCATGACAAACACACCTCGTACTTTTTTACTATAAATGTGAGAAAATTTAAAAGATGAAATATGAAGATAACGAACAGTAATCATCCTCTAAAGTCCATTAAAACATTAAAAATAAAAGAAGAGCAAACACGGATCTGTAAAAACATCAGGGGTGGGATCAGATGTCATGGAGGAGTAAGCACCACTTCTTGACTGTTCACACCTTGTCATGTCCATGTAATGATTGGGAAAAAAAGAGACAGCCGTAGACAAAATATTGTTAATAATAGTCTTACTATTAGAGTGAAAAAGTCAATCAGCATTTTATTTGCTGACAATGTCATTGTATCGACCAAAGAACTTGCAAAATGAATTTACACGAGAATGTTGATATTCTTGTTTCATCATTTTGAAATAGAGTTTCTTTGTAACGGTGCGCAATGGCACAATGAAGAACTATCACTTCTCAATGGCCCCGAGTACACAGAATAGGTCTTAATGTAAAACCGCTCACTGGCACATAGTCAGGTTTCTTTATGAGTGTAAATTCTAGAACAAGACGTTCAAAAACATATCCATGTAATCAATTAGTAAACTTTATTGTGGATATATTCCTTAGTTTCAGAAATTGATCCTACATTAAATATGCCCTTGAGTATCTAATTACCTGCTGCGCTATAAAAACCCAATATCCATGTTATAATGGTATATGTAAGGGATGTTAACGATAAAAATATGAAATCATCATATGTATTATAAAACGTTGTTGTTTGGTTACCATAAAAGTCTTTTTCTATTTATAAAACCAATCAAATATACAACAGATGTGTCACTCTTTTTTATCTATATTTCAAGGACATAAGGCTAACTAAGACATATTGACATACTTATAAATATAATTTCAGAAAGAAATGGACTTAAACTTATTATGGGGAATGGTCGGGAAAGTGCTGAAAGGTCATGCATTATGGTATTATTGATAACAGTTTTTTCTGATTTCATTCTAAATTAGAGGAGCTACTAATCGATTTAAGCATGATAAATTTGTAACATTTTATTTTTAGATTAAAGAACATTATTACTGTGTTGTTCTCGAAATTTGATTTAT